TCCTCTTGCCAACTCCTTCTTGTGGCTCTCCTTACTGAATCTCTATTAAAATATCTGACCTACATTTCGAATGACCGTTCTGTAGAGTAACCAAGGCTGCACTTGAATCTAAACAAATAATTGTTTTAAATGGCCTCAAATCTTCCACCCACTGAACCGCTAATAGAATTGCTATCATTTCTCCTGTAAACACAGACAATCCATCATTAATCCTCTTCCCAATTTCGACCATGAAGTCTGGAATTACTACTGCCATCCCCACTTGACTAGCTGGATTCTTTGAAGCATCCGTATATACTTGCACATACCCATAATACTGATCGATGTAACCCTGAACTGTATTTGAGTCTAGAGCGTCTGCCAGCACAATATATACCGATTTCTGCTCCTCTCTGTATAGGTAATAAAACTCTCTATGGGTAACAAAACACACCAGTGGCAGGGTAGATTAAAGGTTTTACACTTTTACCGTTGTTCACATTTATTGCCCCCATTGTATAGTGTTAAGTTGGAGAAGGTGCGGCTTTTTAACTTGGAAATCTGATTTGAGGAGATGGCATTCCAGTTTCAAATTCCAGCGGGGAACTTGGAAATTCAGATTTAATCTCAAACACCGTGAGCACATAAAGCAAAAGCACAGGCGGTACCATGAAAGAGCTGGGACAGGATCAGTGGTAGATTTTTATTCTGCTTCACAGCTTTCTGATTTTGCGTATCTGCTGTAGATTTTATTTATAGGTCTGCTACATCTTTTACAATGCTGCTGTCCAGCTTCGTCAGTGTTTTTTAATAACACTGCGCACCATGCTAGGTTTTCCACTGTTGGTGAAGTGAATCAGCTTGTCGGTGCAAGACTGTTACGTGTCAAACTGAGTTCTCTTTGGTAGTTTTCAGAGAGAAAAAAGAATAGGAAAAAATGTTTTTTGAGAAAAACAAACAAAACGTTGTTAAGGAGCTTGGCTGAGTGTGGCTTATCACTGAAAAATAGATTCAGTATTTCTGTTGTATTTAGCTGTGACTGAATAACTGCACCAGTCAAAGGTTTGGACACACCTGAGGCCACGAGTGTTTCTCATTATCTGAGACGACCCTTTCCCCGTTGTACACAGTGAGCCATATAACAAATATTTATTTAAAATTTGTTCTGAATTGATAACAGTACATTGATAAATTTTAGATCTACAAATTTTGAACATGACATAGCTGTGGGTGTATGTGGTTTGGTTTTCCTCACTGGGCTGTAGCTCCTGATTCATCCCAGACAAATATTCATAAACAGTACATACATGATTGCCTTTTACTGTATTGTCTCATTAGAATTTGTTGCTGTTGTTCCATGATTTAAAAATTGGTTGATGCTGCATTTTCTTTTGTTTAGTTCTTTGTATTTATTTTGTGTTTTGTGTTTTTTTCAGCATTTATTATATTTACTATTGTTTACTTTAGTTGCAGTGCATTTGACCTCTCAGGGCTACTATACAAATACACCAACGCAGTGTAGTTTTTCACGTTATTAGATTTTTATTAGTCATATTACATGATTTTGAATTATATGTCAGTGCATGTTGTTTACCTTCAGTGTGTGCTCAAAACTCTTTTGCAGCTTTCTGTTCGAGACTTTAATGGAAACTGTTGCTCTGCCAGCCCATCATGTCCCTCACCATCATCATCAAGTTTTCTTTATTTAAACTTTTTTTTTCCCATTCTTTATTTGCTTAGTGTTTATATTTGCTTCGCCATGTATTTCCTTACTACGTTATTCCCAAATTGTGGGCCAACGACCCCTTGTGGACTGCAAAGGTACTGCAGCCACAGTAGTAACAAATTCAGTTTGAAATTACTCACCTGTATAAATGGATTTAGTATAATATAATTGGTAATAGGAGGTGGTTGGTGTGTAATATTACTCATTACCCTGGACCAAATTTACTGCCCTTGTATTGAAATTTGTGTCCCAGCAGCAGGTTGGTCACACATCAGCATTAACACTTTGCATATGATTGAGCAGCAATTTAGAGCCAGCAGCCTGTGTTGTTGATGATTTTATAAAATACAGTTTTAAAATTGTTGTCACTTTCTTTTGTTTTTGGTTTGAATGAAGATTTAATATTGTCATTTTCTGGTTTTTAAGTGGACCACAGCACTCTTAATTTTATGAATGGCTGTCTTACTGTATTTAGCCTCCAGTTGTTAGTTCCTGGTTGCATTAGTTGTTCCCTGTGTTTGTTTCTCTTGTTATTTGTTGATATTTAAGTTCATTGCTGTTTCTACGTTTCCCCGTTCAGTTATTGTTTCTCACTTTCTGTATATTTATTTTGATGTCTTCTTATCTCCTTTGCATTGATTTTATCTGGTTTGAGTTTAGTCTCACATTCCCTCCTTTCGCGCAGTCTTTGTTTGCATCTCATTTTTCACAGCCAAATAAATTACCTATTTATAAACTACTGCCCGTATTTCTTGTCTGCATTTGGGTCCTCAAATCTGTCAAATCTATCTGGGTGTATAAACAATACAGTGTGTATGAATGATCTGAAACCTTGGCCCATTGTCCCAGTGGAGATTTATAACTTGATTTCTACAGAACCTTCATTACTGCAGCTTTATTAGGAAGTTAAAGGGACTAGATTTTAATATGTGCTTTAAGAAAAAGAGAGAGAGATTGTCAGGTGTGCCGTGGGAATTTATTTAATTTTAATTAGTTGCTCCAAAAAACACAATTTAATAATTACTACAAGTAATAAAATCATAGTTGGGCATCTGTGCTTTCAATGCAGTGACTGGTAGAGTCTTTCATGTCAGTGGGTAGCGCAATATCACCTTGTTGAGTTAAGACAGAGTTCGTGATGTGCGCGCTACGTGGCAGCTGCAAGACATACAACAAAGATGGATAAATATTAGTGATGGTGAGATGAAGCCTCATGATGAACTGAAGCTTCCCATCCAACTGGTCGACTCATGGTTTGAAGCATTGTGATGATTCATTTGCTCTACTGCGCCATCAAGTGGACAATTCAAGTGAAACGGGCTCAATAATTATAATGATGTGATGTGTAAACCGCTAAACCGAATAAATAAATTGTTTTTCATGGTTATTTATCCCGAATATTGTCTCAGTATGTCTGATACAAAAGAGAAAGTGGAAACTATCAGTACACAGTTTTTGGGATGATTGTGTAACTGCGTAATCATTCTTATGTACATCTCAATAATGACACAAACTAGTGTGTGGCACTTGAAGTTGAATGAATAAAGGAATTACTATTGTTCATGACACCAATAACTGAACTCTAAATATTAGTTATATTTAATATTATACTAATTTTATATTAATTTAATTAATATTTGTGTATAATAAATTGGCAGCTTAACACAGGAATGTACATGGAAACAAAAAGGGAGGGAGTTGTGATGTGAATGTGCTTGTGACTTTATAACAGTGCTCATGACACTAGGGAAAAGTTTTCATTTGTTTTTATTCAAAAATAGCAGCTTTCCCACAGTGCTGGGCTGAAGACGGTTCCTCTTTTTTGAGAGGATTTCTCCTGCTTTTGAAAATATCCTCTCACAGGGCACAGATGAAGCAGGGGTTGCAAGAAAAACCACAGCAAGTTTATACAAGTTTGGATAAAGAAATTTGTGTCCAGTACTCCAGTAGCTATGTAACACGTACGTAATCCAATTCCACAACACGATGTGATGAGGGAATCAGCTGTGTTTTGCTGCCCATTTTATTTCGAATCTGGCGCGAACCGGTGAACCAGTTCCCGAATCAGTCACGTGGTACGGACTGCCCGCGAGGCCTCGAACGTCACTGCATACGTAATCAACGCAAGCCTCGATACGCGCTTCAGAAAAACGCCCCCACGATTACCCGACGCGCGATTCGAAGCTTCGACACACAGGACACATCACTAATAAATATTTGAAAAGAAAAACTGCGGACTCAGACATGCTTATTTTGTGGACTGTGTAAGAAACATTTTTATTGTTTTTTGTTTTATTAACGGATTAGCTACAGGGGTTCATGGGGTTATTTTTTCAAGGGGTTATTTTTCCATTTGCTTTCTTGGGATTCCTTTACTGTAATCCGAGAGTCATAAATATCGAATAGGATAGCAAGGATAGCATAAAGTGACATTTAAAATCCAAAAAGTCAAGGGCGAAAGCCACTGTGACACCATTGTTCTGCTCTATCAGTAATCTGTATTATGTAAAAATGGTCTGTAAATACAGCATGTTTCCTAGCGGAGTTATACATATCAATGTAGTTATAAATTACAGTTTGTGAAAGTACACACTTAATTTTTTTAATAAAATTATTCAAGACATATGAGTGGACAGACAATGGAGGTCGACAGACCTGGTGATAATTGCTTCTATAGAAAGTTAGCACATGGCAGTGTCAATCTCTTGCTTTTCTTCTGAGTAGTATTTTATTTAGTTGTAATTCAAACAATAATTTGCTTCTTGAAATTAAGTAATGAATTTCTTGTTTACTTTATAAATTTCAGATCCTGCCTTTACCTGCTCCCTCCTATACTGATGTGGTTTATGTGGTACTGCTGAGCCTGTATGTGAACTGTTATACTTTAAAAAAACAAAACTGTTTTATAAGTTAAGTTTTCTTTTGTGACCCATCCCATGCCCCTGTTATTTCTTCTCCACATCTGAACCATTGTAAAGGTTGCAGTTCAAAGGCCTGAGGCATGAAATTCTTTTCAGATCAGCTGTGATCAATATTTTTTGAAACTTATAAATAAATATAATATAAATATAATAAAAGCTGTAATGGCTCCTTTAGCATTTTGTGTAAATGTTTGTGTTAAAATTATAGCTTTAATGAGGTCTTACTGCATTAGTTTTAGTTTGTATATGTGTACATATAGTATGTATATTTACAGTACAGTATGTTGTGTTTGTTGACATATTTTCAGGTGGAAGCAGAATATGTGAGGATTACTACTGCTCCACTTGTTCCAAGGCTTTTTACACGACTTGACCAATACACTGACCAGCTCATAAAAGTCTTCAAGAAAAAAGGAGGCGTTGCAGGGAAGAAAATTAGACAAACTTTGGCCCCAGCCACACAGGTGCGTTATTCTGTTGGTAGCAAAATATTATGGCTAATAAGATCATTTTCAAATTTAAACAGCTAGTGTATGGTAGCTGCACAGTGCACTTACATTTATATTAAGCAAGACAAAGTTTGTTACTCAAAACGTTGGAAAACTTAAATTACCTAAACATATGTAAAATCTGATCCCTCAATTTAGGTTAAACCAGAAGTGAATGTTTTTATGTTATGTTTTGAATGCAAAGAAGATGATGTATTAGTTTGTCTATACTAGAGATGGACCGATCCGATATTACGTATCGGTATCGGTCAGATACTGACCCAAATTACTGGATCGGATATCGGAGAAAAATAAAAAATGTAATCCGATCCATTAAATATCACGAAAGCACCTCACAAAACTTGCAACACGCCGTAACTCACCTCAGAACGTTAGCACGTCGGAGCAGTATGCATCACGTGATAGAGCGGCTGTGGCATGCGGGACCTGTCGGTGGTCTGGATAGCATTTGGAGCTTTGCTAGCAACCTGGCATTTCATCTCTGATAAAGTTATCCCCGAGAGAAGTAAAGCAAGTGTTTAAGTCCATCTCTGAATGTTTGTAAAGCATTCCCACGTTAAGCTTAACGAGCGACTGCCTCTTCTTGCTGCTACTTCAATCATGAAACTGCTTAACGATCAGCTGATCGGCTTTTCTGTCGCGAGTCCGTCTCTCTGGTTTGTTTTTGGCCCACTTTGCACCAGACAGAGGAAACCAGCGGCTGAACAACAGCAGAACGTTTAAGCTTGATCATCTGTTGTTAGAATGTATTTAATATTACTTTCTACTCGAGGATCTTTTTCTACGTAGCTGACGCTGGTAACTGTGCAGGGGCGGATCTAGCAAAGTTTAGCCAGGGGGGCCGATAGGGCATGAACAGGGAAAAGGGGGCACAAAGACATACTTTTCTTTCTTATTCTCATTTAAAATGTCTAGCTTTTAATAAATAATTATCTGACACCCAAAGTTTTAATTTGATGTAAAATGAATAGAAGTCAATTACTGTATATAGTAACTATTAAGTCTAATATATATACCCTAGTAAGCTATAGTACTTTTTCCTTTGGGAAGGTACCATCTGTGCAGTCTGCAATTTTGTTGAAGGAAGATGTTGAATCTATTTAATATTTCTTGAAAAATAATTGATTTCTGTGCTTTTTTTTTTCACACTGCATCAAATTAAGGTTGATTACGTCGATTAAGCATCATGAGGTGGAGCGTGAGGGGTGGTTCCCTATTTTTTATTTATTTATGTTTGTTGTTGCTGGGAGTTGGAACCCTATTAGTTAGGTTGCTTAATATTTATGCTAAGTACTCTTTAAAATACCAGAATAGGGAGGATGGTGTAGGTTTAAGTTTATTAGATTGATCAGTATTGCTGAACTATGAAATATTTTTTTTGTATACAGGTATAACAGAATAGCTTTAGTGTAGTTGTTGTTTTAAACTTGAGTATGAACTTATACAAAATGCAGCAAGATATTTAAAAAACAGTTTTGTTGATTAAAAAACACTATATCGGATTCATATCGGTATCGGCAGATATCCAAATTTATGATATCGGTATCGGACATAAAAAAGTGGTATCGTGCCATCTCTAGTCTATACCTCCATTATGGACATATATAATGTGGTGGAAACCCTGCCCAACAGGTTAACTATTCATGTCCATGTGATGATTAGTTGGTCTTGTGTACATGTCTATCTGTGCAGTGGATATGTCATTCATTTTGCGTATAATGTGAGTTTCTGTCATCCTAAAGTATATCTGTTTTCTCTTCCTGTATCTCTGCCACTCTCTACAGAAGGAAACTATTGAAAAGGGGAGGGAGTGTGTCCTCAGGGCACTACCTTTTTACCTGAATGAAGACCCAAGCATCCTCTTCAAAGAATAATTGGTTGGTAATTTTAGTTTAGTTTTTTATCTGTATTAAACCAAATTTTGAATAACTAATGTTGTTGCATGTTGTAATGTTGTTGTTGTTGTAATTTGCATGGAACCTGTTTAAATGTTTTGGGAAATCTTCTTGTATACCCAAACTATTTATATTTATCGTTGAATCTGTAGTCTAAAATAGTGGCGCACTGGGGTGCATGTTCCTAATATTGTGTTTACGTCATTAAAGGGTAGCTTTGGCCCTTTTTCTTTCTTTTTTTAAAACTGGATGCCATTTTTCTATGTTTTTGTGTCTAAGCTACAGCTGTTCAGAGGGAGCTGGAACAAATTACCCTTGCTATCTTTACCATCAAAAGAGCTGATGCCAGCACTCCTCCAGCCGATGTGGGTATAACCATCTAGTGTGTCCTGCATGACCTGGAAGACCTGGCCTCTGCATGTGCACTCTTAATGGGTGGGATATACAGTGGGGCAAAAAAGTATTTAGTCAGCCACCGATTGTGCAAGTTCCCCCACTGTCAGCAGACTCTTGACCAAGGTACAGTTGCTCAAGAATAAACTGAATGAATAAGCCAACCCTTAATTTGGATGATGAATGTTCTGTCAGATGGACAGAAGTTTTTCGGAGGCTGAATGGGAATAAAATGGTAATTTGTAAATGATAGATAAAGGGAAAATTAAATTTAAGAGAAATTTAGAACATTTTGAAAAGTTTGTAAACTACTACAATTTGAGAGATTTTACTCTTGTGGGGGGGCTAGTAAGAGACCATCAAAAGTATTGAGATTTAAAGGATTTAATTGAGAGATGATACTGCACCAGAAATGTTGAAGGGTGGTGTGTATATTAGCGTTCAAGGCATATTGTTATGAGGTGGAAATATGTTCATATTCAGTTTGTGTTACATTGTGTGCATTGTAAAGGTAATTGCAATACATACTAAGAATAAGAGTAAGTTAGGAATGCAGGATGAATGTATATTTTGCAGACTTTTAAAGACGAACAATTGTTTCCATGTTAAAATGTTTACATCTGAAGTTTTTTGCCCAAACACTGGTAAAATAAATGACAGTGGCGAGTGTTAAATGGTTACTGCTGTGCTGTTGCAAAAAACTGAACGCTGACAAGCTGTTTTATTGTTAGACCATAATGTTGGCATGTTTTATTAAAGTTTTATTTGGGATGGTGATGTAATTTTCTTTGGTTGCTAATATCAGTGGACTATTTATTATTATTATTATTATTATTATTATTATCATTATTATTACATTAATTAATTTTTTTAATTGTGGCTGTTGAGGTGGACACTTCACTTTGCATTGTTAAAGGAAAGCACTTCATTGGCATTGTGTTACTAGACTGACCCTAAGCAATCATTGCAAATAGCAACTTTGCTATCCATTTTAGACACTAAAAGAAAAAACACTCACAGACCTTACTAGCATCACATGTGCATAACTCAAGTGTCATCTTATCAATGTGTTATGTGATCTTCAATGTTTTTTTTTCTCTTCTATTTCTGGTAGATACAGACATTTAATTTAAAGTCTTGATGTTGCATCTGTCTACATACTGTTAATTACTAACCCTAATGAGCTGTTGTGTTTTATTTTGGACTGGGTTTACACAAATGCTCACTGAATGTGTTGGCAATAAAAGAAATTTTAAAAAACAAGTTGGATGTACTTAATTCATTTGTGTGGAACCTGTTGACAAAATAGATTCATGTAAAACTAATTAATAAAGCACAAGGTGGCTGAAAATATAATATTTGAATTAATCTAACTTAAATTTAACATTTTACTGCCACAAATAAGAAATGTGTTGAAGTAACTAATCTAAACTATCTAACCTGTAAATATATCATCTATGTTCATACAACATAACTTGATTTAGTTAGTCTTAAATATGTCTTGTTAATCTTAAGTAGTTTTTTTTTTTTTTTTTTTAATTAGATGAACTAAAGATTTTTGCTTTAAACTAACATTCAATTTCGTGGAACCTGTTGACAAAATAATTTTAATTAAAGTCAACGTTTCATTTTTTTGAGTGTAATTGGCGCATGTTTTGTGTCAGCGACATGACCGTTCAAACAGCAGTCGCTTTCTAAAACATCAGATAAGTATCGGAGTCAGTACCGCATACGAAAGTGACCCAGATCATTTGAACCAGAGTATTTGAAAATAACGGATTTGTGCCGTTCACACTGTCACATCATGATCGGATATGGGTCGCATAGGGTCAAAAAAGCCGGATTTGATGCGCTTTTGCCTGCAGTGTGAACGTAGCCAAAAAGGTTTGTAGCTGCATACTGACTCCTGAAACTACAACACATCACACTGACACACACATTACACTTCTTTGTCAAATAGTTCATTAGAGCCCTCCCAGGCCCATACTGCCATCACACAAGTATTGGGGTCATTATTACTAGTTACATCTGTGTTACTCTATTACATGGCATGAGCTGCATCACCACATAATTACCAGTCAGCAAACTTCAGACTAACCAAAACTGTATAGTTATTCTTTATATCCAGATGTGTATCTGATACATACACACAGTATATTTCTTTCTACATGACTGTTACTCAAATAACAACCTTCTCCTCAGCTGATCATTCACACACACACAGTCATAACTTTTTTCTACGGCTAAGCGTTTTCTATGATTTGCACTCTCACACTCTGATCAGGAACAACTCAGGGTTCATCCTAAGAAGAAAATACTTGTCCAAGGATACTTTGGCACGCAGACTACAGGAGCCAGTGATCGATCACCTGACTTTCCAGTTGGTAAATGAGCCTCTCTACCAACAGAGCCACTAATTAGCAATAACCATGAACCACCCACAGAAAATATAAAGAGCTCTGAGATGGTGGCAGCGAATGACAACGATAGTAAAAATGTAATACTTGTAATCTGCTAGTCTCAAAGAAATCCACTATCACAGGATTAAATGACTACAGGCCTGTCTCCCTGACATCTGTGGTCATGACGTCCTTTGAAAGACTCATGTTGAGACACCTGAAGGACATCAGAGCCGGTGCAGGACATCCTGCAGGTTCACTACTGAGCAAACAGGTCAGCTGAGGATGCATCAGTATGGGACTGCACTACATCCTGCATCACCTCAACCAACTGGGGGCATACAGCAGGATGTTCATGGCTCAGTTTACCCACTCGCCTCCAGACACAGGTCCTCAGCACCAAGAACACAAAGAACCAGGCAAGCTCTACCCAGAAAGAAAAATAAATACAGGTCATTTAAAAGTGAACTGCTCATTTCTTTTCATTTTAGAAATTGCAATGTTCTTTGTTTCATCAGTCCGATTGTCCCCCCCCCGGCATGTATTTATCTGCAATATTAAATTGTAGTTTTTAAATAAAACATTTTCTGGACACCTAAAGGTGGGTGTGGAGGCTGCAGCGAAGAGAAACGAGCATATCAGCATCCTGAAGTTTGCCCTGTTCTTTGATGCAGTTTTTGTGCTGCTAAAAATAAGACACAATCATGAAGTAGACAATTATTATTACGGTCTAACCTAAAATCAGCAGCTCAGAGCTTTACTGACCCACGTACATAATGTATACTTCATTGATCCCCGTGGGAAAATTTGACCCAGTCACTTAGTGAAGCAGTGGGCAGCCACTGGGCAGAGCAGTGTGTAGGGATGGTAATTTACTCAGGGTCAGGCTGTTCAGGGGAATCCAACCCCTGACCTTTCGATCATGGGGCCACTAATCTACCTACTGAGCTATCCCATATTTATTTACTTGTGAAATGTTTTTAAATACTAACGCAATTTAATTGAGACAGTATTTTATATTGTTTCACTTTCAAATCTGAAAAATGTTACATGTTGAAAATAATCTGATTTACACCTCATGCCCTCCTTGCAAAATAGAACGGCTGCAGCCCGCCTGCTTTATAATTTAAAAGTTAACAGTTATGTGTGGATAATTTTAATATAGTTGAATTGTTTGAAATACTCGTTGAACCGTTGCGGCCCTACTCTGGAGTTAAATTCAACAACACTCTTTAACGCATTACTGACAAAACTGCTGTAAGTTGTGGCAACTAAAGGTGCCGCCAGAAATGCCAGAAACTGAGTAACTCTTAAACCAAACGCTACTTTCCTTTGTTACAAACAGGATGAAAAACAGCAGCTTTATAACATGTTTGAACTTATAACAACTAAATGTAACCTGCACAGACGACAGCAAACAGCAAAGTCGAGTAAAACGGTAGATAATTTTCAGCCGCCATCGCAGTCGTAACAGCTTTGACAAACACTTCCACATTCGTGGTGTGACGCGTTTATGCTTCGGAGGTTTGACTGTACTCTCGCCATCCGACAGCTGTGTCAAGAAGTTTTATTTTACTTCTTTACAAGCTAAAGCCATTCACTGATCAGTAGCAGAGCGGTGCAATGCTACCTTTGTTGTGGGTAAAAACACCTCTGCAGGCTCTTCATTAATAGAGCTTGGTCACTGCTGTGTCCACGGATTATTTAGCAAGTCCTAAATACACCACAGTGGGAATACAGATTAAAAGATTTAGCTTAATGAATGCCTCCATCTCGGATTTTTCAATCTTTGTTCGTGAGGCTGCCCCGACCATCCTACATGAGGAAGCGATCTAACTGAAAACTCCTCCGCCTCCTCTTCTTCTTCGTCTTTTTCTATGGGTTGGTCGGCCAAAAGTCCATCTTTCTGTTAGGTGTTCATATTTAATTCAATTTTATTTATATGACACCAAATCACAACAAGACTTGCTTCAAGGCATTTTATATCGTAAGGTAGATGCTAAAAGGATTAATTTGCCTCTCATACCACTTCCTGTTTTATTTTGGTATTCTTTTGTCCCTCGTGTCTTGTATTTCTTTTTACTTTCTTTGATTTTTAGCCTAAATCCCACCTCTGCAACCAGCATTTCCCCCAATTAGCTTTCTTTTTTTGTATAGTTTCTGTTTCGTTTTGTCACTTGTCATGAAGTCTGTGAACTTCCCCTCATATGTTCCAGGCTAATTTTTGCATTTGTCAGACTGCAACTGCACATTGACCTCAATAAAACGTTTCTCTAATACAACTTTTTTCAATTCTGTGATAAGTTGAATCATTTGTCAAAATCCTCATTCTGAAATCTCTTCCAGTGCAGCAGGTTGTACATTTTAATTTTTCAAAACAAAAGCACAACCTGCTCACCCATCAGCTAAGTCCTTGAAAACACTGCTCAAATCCTGGCTAACTCCTCTTTAAGGCTCTTGCTGAAGAACAGATGGTTGCACAACTGATGTCAACAGGTTCTAAGCATTTTGCACAAATAACAGAGAGCAAGGTCGGGATTATGCAGGTTTGTATGATCACATAACACAGGCACACCACATCACTGCAAACAGTGTTTCAGGACAAAAACACAAACTATTTACATGTCAAGCTTCATCTCCATTCATTCTTTATTCTCTTCAGCACCGTTTGTTACAGTAGTTTTATGTCACTACAGGTTAGATAGAACTCTGTGAAATTCAGTTTCCAGTAGCAAAACACAGACAGACATTTGCATAGTAAAGAAGTAAGAATACAAATCAATACAATATGAATATAAGCATAAATATAGCATAGACTTCAGTCTCCTGAGGAAATACTGA